TACCACATACAGCTTCCATTCCACAAGCGTCACGACTTGCTCTTTCGTCAAGTGTTTCTCGCTTTCTTCTTGTGCAGCTACGGCTTTGCGAATGATGTCATAGCGTTGCGCGTCCAAGTCGCGTAGCTTCTCGGGGACCAATGTAGGGTAACGCGATAAGACATCCTTGAACGCACCCAGAGTAATATTTTTGATATGGAGTGGCGGCATTGTGGGTGTTGTTGATGGAACTGCGATTCCGAGGCAGCGTGGAATAGGCGTGAAAGTGGGAAGACGCGACCATAAGCTCGGCGCGAGATCACGTGCACATGATGTTGCAGCCCTGGAGGTGGCTGAGTCGCCTTCAAACCCTTTCCGCAGAAGATCTCTGGTATGACCAGCGTAATTTATGCACTCGCTCTGAACGATTCTACCATGTCGTACTATGCATTGCAGCTACTATACACGTTGCAACCTCAAATATCGAATTCGACGCTTCATGTATGACCATGGACGATAATGCACCGGGACACCCGCCTCAGCATTTGCGAGGAGATGCGACAGGAATGTCCACCACGCCTTGCTAAGAAACAATGGTATATGTGCAAACAAACAAATAGCCCTATGTAAATGCAAGCTCCAAACGCCTGGCTAATCGACATTTCACGTAGTCTTCCTTGGACGTCCACGACCACGCTTTCCAGAACTCGAACTGCGGGTCGGTACCATAGCAGGGCGACCTGGTGGTCTGCCAACAGGTTTCTTCGGAGCTGGTGCGCTCGCAGGAACCTCATCATCACTCTCCGAATCCGACACATTGATAGCCTGGGGCTTCCTGTTGACAGCGGAAAACTTAGACGCTGGTGCAGTCACAGTCGTCGTAGTAGTGACCTTGCTTGGTCCATTACCGTTCCGCTTGGATGCCGCAACAATCTTGATCTTCTTCCCATTCAACCCGCTCAAGATGGAGTTTGTGGTTGGCGGTGGCCCTGTGCGGACAGGCTCCGGTGTCTTGTCCTCAGATCGTGTGTCATCTTCGAATGGCTCCTCATCAGCGGGTAGGTCACCAAGGAATGTGTCCATGAGCTGGTCATCGTTCGAATCGGGGAACAGCGCCATCTTCGCTCGCAGATTCTCCTCGGCTTCTCTGGCTTCAGCTTCTGCACGAGCTTTTGCCTCCTCCTCCCGACGTTGGGCTTCCAGGGCAGCGGCAGCGGCTTGTTGTGCGAGAATGAAAGCTTCACTGGACTGGTCATCTTCTTCATGAAGACCATCCTGGTCAGAGGCATGCCCAGAGACATCACCAGCGTTGTTGGGTTCCGGATCTTCGGATGGTGGTCCAGTAGGTCTGATTCCAGCTTTTGGTTTTGCTGGCATAGATTTTCGGCGCTCATTGTACACGCGGCTTCGCTCTCGGTCTTTCTCCCGGTTGGGCCTTACAGCTCCATCCCTAAAGTCGGACGGCAGCTCGGTGGGTAGGTCTTCCTCACCTTCATTCCTTCGCGCCAACCAGTTCGACGCGCGCCCACGCGGGCGACCAGTGTGTTCGGGCTCTTCTTCCTCGCCACCGAACTCCTCATCAGAATCGAGCGTGATCTCTTCAAATCGTTTGGAGCCACGAGGCCTGCCTGGTTTCGCAGCGCCGCTGATTTCCGGATTGCGCTTGCGCGTTGAGTATGCCTCATCCTCTTCTACTCGGATCCGATATGTCTTCGCGTCCTTCTCTTTCTCAGCCACGCTCTTGAGAGTGTTTGGCTTCGGCACAACATCGGACTGTAGAATAGACCGCAAGTCGCCAGACGCTTCGATTTCCTCAGGAGTGCCTTGTCGCAGGACTGGTGCGCGCTCGGGGACGGGTCTTTGCCGGATTCGGTCAAGATGGCCAGTGGCCAGAGATAACTTTACCACCTTGGATTTACCCTTCATCTTTGCGGCAACCATAATGAACCTGTCCTCGCGTTTGGCATCCTCGAGCAGCTTCCTCTGTACCTCCTTTTGATATTCCTTGCCAGATGCATTCTTCGGTTGCAGGGGTTGTGCCTCGTCGTCCTTCTTCTTCTTCTGCTTCTTTGCCTTGGCCTTCTTCCGCCGGTTGCCCTGTACATCCTCGTCTTCTTCGCGACCACGCTTCTGACCCAGACGCGGAATCTCCCCATCCATGCCGGGATCATGGTAGTATGGAGCACCATTTGCCCCTCCGTCACCATTGTCGTGAACGACACCGTTGGCGTCCTCAACGGGAGAGTAGGTAATACCGTATCGGGTGTAGCCGTGGTTGTCATCTTCAATGAATCGCGCATCAAGGGAAGGATCCGCCATTTTATCCATCTCCGCTTGCAGCATTCTGCGTTGCATTGCACTCTGGCCCATACCCTCCTCTTCCCGCAACCAGTTCAGATTAGACACACTGAAATCGACGAGACATTCTACTGAGCGTATATCAGCCACTTTCTTGGTGTCGTGGCCGAGCAAGGTTCCTTTGGGCTCGTATGGATGTTGTCGGGGGTCACGTCGACAAGCGCCAGTATTGCAAACTCGTCTGCAGTGTGGACACTTCCAGTTGTAAGCCTCCATGACGTTTACCGGCATCATATCGTGTGCTCGAAACAGGGTACCGTAACAGTAGGATAGGTCACAGCTCGTGCAGAATGCCATCTTCCATTTCGGGTGGCGATGAAGACAGAAATGGCACGACTTGTGCTTTGAAAGGTACTGCTTCGACTTCTTGTTCGCAACCTTCTTGACGTTGCCGTATTCATCGACGACAGGCTCCTCATCGTCGGACACGCTCTCAGGTTGCGGATTTTTAATATCGACGAAGGGTCGGACTCGAAGTTGCTCTTGACAGACTGTGGCCAATGTCTTCTTGCCAAGATATCGTCGCTCTTCTTGCAGTGGAAGCGGAGTCTTCTCGTGTACGAAGCCATCGATGTCGATAATCTGAGCGCGCCACTCTTCGTACTTGTGAAGCAGGTCCTTCCACTTCCACTGTTCGACCCATGTGTATCCTGATTGACAACCACAGCTTCGTCCCATGCAATAACAGTCCATGCAAACGTCGTATGGTTCTTCGATCTCCGTACTGAACAAATTCTTGCAAGTCTTGCAGCTAAGGAAGCGATTGAAGATGTTGCATCTGCAATAGGCACAAGTTACGTTGCTGTCGTAGGGAAGAAACTCTGGGTGTTCTCGTGAGTCCGGTGCAAACGCCTCTGATAGCAGAATGGCCTTATACAGATCGAAGAGCTTCTTGAAATCTTTCTGAACTTGCTTTATTTTAACCGACGTTTGGATTGCGACTGCCTGTTCGCCACCCGCTTCGACTTGAGCGCGCGCGGACTTGATGAGGCTGGAGTATTTCTGGAGGGTATAGTAGACGATCGCCTTGTTCTTGTATTGCTCGTCTCTGCAGACGACTCGTGAGTTGGGCAATGCCTCGTTCAACGCGAGTTCCAGTGTCTCGACAGTCGTCCGGTTCCAAGCGATTTTCATGGTTCGCGTACCACGATTCCAAACTTGATGAGGAGCTAGTGGTGGGATGAGTATGAAGTCGCCCGCCCGCTGCTCTACGACATAAGTCTGGAATGGGGCCTTTTTCCAGGCGATGAGCTGCGCAAAATGGTTCTCCACTTCTATGTCATGGCCTAATACCGAAAGCCAGTATTCCGAGACGACATGCCGATCCTTGCTCTCTGTCATGAACCATATGGACGACCCAGGACGCTCCTGCTTGCCGTCTTCGCTGATGTTGCCTGATGCATTGACCATGATGTTCTGACCGAGTGAAGCGCACATCTCTCGATGGGACGGGGTGTAGGTGCCTTCGTGACCGATATAGCACATGAGGTTTTCCGCGCGCATCTCAGGTGGCAGGCTGCTCATGAGATCCCCGGCGCGTCCGATTCCGCGTCCTTTGCGACCACCAGGCTCGTCCAATGCGCCAAGGCCGCCAGGCTCACCAGTGCTCTCGTTGAGGTAGAACAGAACCGAGGGAATGTGCTCCTTCAGTTTATCATGCCACACTTGAGGACAGTCGATATCCTTGAGGTAGATGCGCTGCCTCGCCTTATCGCGGTATGCGTCGTCGGGGCCGTCGAAGAATTGCTCGGTCAGCTTCGTCATATGCTTTAGGTAATGCTTCATGGTAAGAGGAATGTTCTCCTTGGTCGAGAGATTGCGCGCATTCTCGACTGTCTTACTGTTAGCTATGCGCGCCGGGTGCTGCCCTAAGTTGCGCTCACCTTTGTCGCCATGATTGTCGCGCAGCCACGAGGGTGTAAAGGTCCAGGGATCCAGAACCTCCTCGAAACCGTCGATTACAAGAGGCTTGCCGCCTATTATGACGTGCAGCATCACCAGCTTCTCAAAGGCTTCGATGCCATTGTTGGCGATCATCTCGTAGGAAATGCGGTCGACATATTGGAAATTGTCCGCGGTCTCCACAAAGGTGCGCACATCGAAATCGGGCGGTATGGGCTCAAAAGAGGCCCGGGGGCGCGCGGCCGGCATCGTCGTCACGCACGACTAACATCCAGAAGTCGCGTTCTTGGTGTGGGGTTACAGGAGCGTGAAGCACCTCCGCGGCGTTTCCGCAGTTGCGAATAGACGGGGGCGCAGCGGGTAAATGTGGGCGCGTGGTCGTGGTCGCTGGCGGAGCGAGTGCTGCAGAAAGTGTGAGTTGTAGTTGATTTGGCGGCGGCGAGGTGAGCTTTCGGGATGTGGGCGCGACCGAGGAAACGGCGTTCTGACCAGTCACGTGCCGTCGAGAGTTAGCGCGAACCCATGGTTCAGCTTTCACGTTCCCCACTCACTCACCATCCCGATTCGGCGCTGGACGGCAGTGATAAAAGTGTCTTTCCCAATTGATGTTCCAGCCACTCACATTGTCTTCGACATGTTCAGCATAGCACGTTGAAAGCGAGACCCTGCATACCAGCCCAGCAAACAGAAGACGTAGCACGCATGCCTTTACATGTGAAATTGCAAACACTTCTGACCATCTAAACATCTGAAAGCAAAGTATGGCTCTCTTACGAATTTATGCAGCGCGGGCTGCGCCGGTGTGTCGGCAATACACTCGGGATTATTCCACATTCCAGTCTGCCTGCAGACGAAGGCAGCTATCAACACCTCTGTCACTTGCGAGCTATCGTCCGCAAACTACTCAGCTCATCAAGCCAATACGAAGAAGCTCGACAAACTTGCATTCAGGAATTGCGGCAGCGACAGCGCTACAAGATGGACCCTCGAAACCACTTCCCGATTACAAGCCACCGACCACCGGCTTTCTGTCATATCTGCCCCAGAAAGCTGTTCCATACGGCGAGCTGATGAGGTTGGACAAACCGGCCGGTACATACTACCTCTTCTTTCCTTGTATGTTCAGCACACTTCTCGCTGCAACGATGGCCACCCCTCTCGCTGCACCGTCCGCAGTTATCGGCACAACAGCCCTCTTCTTCACGGGAGCTCTCGTAATGAGAGGTGCCGGATGCACGATCAACGACCTTTGGGACCGGAACCTCGATCCATACGTCGAACGAACGCGATTACGTCCCATAGCCAGACGAGCAATCACACCCCAGCAGGCTATTGTCTTCCTTGGAGGACAGCTTACGACCGGTTTAGCCGTCCTTCTATCACTCCCATTCGAATGCTTCTGGTACGCGACACCGTCACTTGTTCTCGTTACGCTCTATCCTTTGGCAAAACGAGTGACATATTATCCTCAATTCGTCCTCGGTCTTACTTTCTCATGGGGTGCGATGATGGGCTTCCCGGCGCTGGGTGTCGATCTGTTGGCAAATCAAGCAGCGCTCACTGCGGCAGCTGGTCTTTATGCTAGTAACGTTGCGTGGACTGTTCTGTACGACATGATCTACGCACACATGGATATCAAAGATGATGTCAAAGCGGGTATCAAGAGTATTGCGCTCAAGCATGAGAAAGAGACCAAGATGGTGTTGTCGGGTCTGGCTGTCGTTCAGCTCGGTCTGTTATCCGCTACCGGGGTCGCAGCAGGCTTAGGACCGGTCTACTTCGTCGGGTCTGTCGGGGGAGCAGCAGTCACTCTGGGCACCATGATTCGACGTGTAAAGCTGAAGGAAGTCAAGAACTGTTGGTGGTGGTTCGTGAATGGTGCATGGTTTACTGGCGGAGCGATCAGTTTGGGTCTCGCTGGAGAGTATGTCGCGCACCTCTTTGGTTGGTATGGGGATGTTGAAGAGGAGAAGAAGTCTATTGCCATCTGAGACTACGTTGTCCATGCTACAATGGGATGATCTCTGTCGCCCAGAGGATCAATTCGGGTGCACCTGGGCATAGCAGTGTATTTTGACGAAACTGTATAGATTACATGTATTGCTACTACGACACCATGTTATGAGGTTCATGACTTGGAAACACGTGTAGATGCTCTTCTAATCCCTTGCAAACTCCTTGCAAACATTGTCCTTGATCATCATGGTTTTGCACATGATGCGCAGGACTCTGCCATCGCGTAATAATGCGCGATGACTATGCTGTATTTGTTTCGGTACTGGTGTTGCAAAGGCTAGTGTTGGAAACCGGTTTGGTTGGGGCCATTGAGTCTGAAATCGAGGGTGTCGCAGAGGGAATATTAGTCGAAGGAGGATCTTGCACGGATGAAGTGCGTGTTATATTTGTCCGGCTTGCTGTCGAGTCATCGGAGTATTGGAGTCCGCTTTCGAGCTCGTGTGCTAGTAGTACGATCAGCGCCGAGATACAACAAATGACGGTCCTGCCAATCATCGTACATACACTCAGTAGGACGGTTTGTGAAGTACCGGTACAAGACAAATCCAACAGAGTCTCGGTAATGCAGACCAAACAAGGCTACGATGACACTGAAGATGGCGGCAATGCCAAACAGTATCTGTAGCGCGACGTTGACTGTACTGTCGCTCGGGCTTGTCATCCCCGCGTATTCAGATGCAGCTGAGCAATGCCGTGATTGGCTGTCGCGATTGTATGTGTGAAGTGCAAAAAGCGATGGGGTGGGCAGAAAAAGATGGATCGGGCTGCGGTAAAAAGGTCTTCACTGAACTGCTGCAAAGATTGCAGACGACAAAACATTTTGGAGAAGAATTGGCGTTTATTTGAATCATCTCGAGGTCTATTGGGATGCATGCCGCAGCATAGAACAATTGACAAGTGAATCAGAGCCGCCCATCCCGTTTCCCCGATGCCTCCCTCACAGGTCCCAGAGTTTATGCAGATACCTCGCCGCCAACGTCGCTCGAAGGATAATAAGATGTTAGAACTCATGTCCAATTTGAGCGGCCTCTGTATCTCTTCTATGGGGTTTGGGAGGTGTTATGGAGGTGTTGTGGAGGTGTACTCGCGGTTGGAGGCGAACGCCCTATCAGCCTATCATGGCACACGAGAACATACCGGTGATCACAAGGTATGCAGGCGCAGCTATTCCGTGACTGTGATTTGCTCGGGCATTCGTAATGCAGCGGTGTAGACAATCCTGTTTGCAGATCGGGTGACGATGTCATGGCAGACCGTTTTCCTCATCTTCGCTCCAGCTGTAAAACTGGTGTGTTCACCGGAAGCTACAAGAGTTAGCCTCGTCCTAGCCTTGTACACATAGATACCTCCTGTCAGCATATCGCGTAGAGAGCCAGATTCAGCGTCAAATTGACAGACTGATGATCAGATCAAGTTTTGACGTAGAAACTTGCAATCTTTCTGGTATTGATATGTTTACAGAGTTTGTTTATAGGATCAGTATTAGTGATGTGACATATGGATAACAAAGAAGCGGGATGACTAGTAACAGGACAACAGCAGCAGCTTCCTAGTCGATGCTTCGTTAGCGTCGTATTCTATACTTAGAGCCTGTTTAGCGATTATTATATTTAATATAACACTAAGAATATAATATTATATAACCTATTATATACTTATATTTAGTAATAAGTAATTTATATAATAGTAGTAGAATACGTTCTATAAAATATAATATATTTAAAAGCTATAAAATATATTATATTATAGTCTAATTAAAGTAGAGAATTTTATTATATAACTTTAGAAATTATTCTATACTTTTTAGGCGCTATATAAGTATATAATAGTAGTAAAATAGCTTAAATTAGTTAAAAAAGTAGTTATTATTATATAATATATAGTAAATTAAAGCTTTACTATATCTTACTACTACTTATAATAAAGTATTCTACTACTACTTATAATAAAAGTATTCTACTACTACTTATAATAAAAGTATTTTACTACTACTTATAATAAGAGTATTCTACTACTATAGTATAATAAAAATATCTTACTACTATAATAATTAGTCTACTAGCTCTAAAGCTTTATTATATTTTACTACTACTTACTTATATTAAGTTTATAAGTATTTTACTACTATAAACTAGCTTACTAGCCTCTATAGTTTCTTTATATTCTACTACTACTTATATACTTTAACTTTATTATATTTTACTACTATAAACTAGCTTACTAGCTTTTATAGTCTTTTTATATTCTACTACTACTAATATACTTTTAAGCTTTTTATATATTTTACTATTACTTATAATAAAGTATTCTACTACTACTTATACGCTCTAACTTTTATATATTTTACTACTACTTATAGACTTTTAATCTTTATATATTCTACTTCTACTTATATACTCTAATCTCTATATATTCTACTACTACTTATATACTCTAATCTCTACGCATTTTACTACTACGCGCTAGCTTACTAGCTACTATTTCTAAAGTAGAATATTTTCTTAAAGTAGAGTAATTCTATAGTAACTTTAGAATTTACTAAGTAAATAAGAACTAAAGTAGCTCTACTATAAGATAATAGAAAGTATATAAAATTATTAACCTACTTAGTAATATAAAAGAGTTAGAAGATAAGACTAGAGATAATCTTAAGAATATAATAGTACTATATCTACTTAATCTACTAATATACTTTTAAGTTTATACTAAGTTAAAATAAAATAGAAGCTTTGCTTTACTTTTAGTAAGCTATCTTAGTAGATACTATTAATACTAGATACTCTACTTTACTCTTAGTAAGCTACCTTAGTAAATACTATTAGTGCTACTAACGCTAGAAGCTCTACTTATAGTAAGCTACCTTAGTAGATACTATTAATACTAAATACTTTACTTTACTCTTAGTAAGCTACCTTAGTAGATACTATTAGTACTACTAATACTAGAAGCTTTACTTATAGTAAGCTACTTTAGTAGACACTATTAACGCTAGATACTCTACTCTACTCTTAGTAAGCTACCTTAGTAGACACTATTAACGCTAGAGGCTTTACTTATAGTAAGCTACCTTAGTAGATACTATTAGTACTACTAACGCTTAATACTTTACTTATATAGTTCTAGTATATATAAGTAATAATAGCTATAGTAGCTAGTACTATACTTACGTAGTAAGCTACTTTAATAGTAACTAGTAGTACTATTAACGCTATACTTTTCTTTACTCTTATTAATAGCTATAATATACTAGTAGCCTTATATTTTACTACTATAGTAATTAGCTTTTTAGTACCTAAAGCTTTATATTCTACTACTATAGTAACTAGCTTACTAGCTTCTAAAGCCTTATATTCTACTATTATAATAACTAGCTTACTAGCTTCTAAAGTCTTATATTCTACTACCTTATATCTTACTATCTTATATCTTACTACTTTATATTCTACTACTTTATATATACTCTTTTTTATATTTTCTTACTTACTAAGTTTACTACTTTAGTAGAACTTAGGCTATACTTTTTCTAAAAAGCTTTTTATTAAAATAGTCTAAGTATATAATAATACTATAGATAGAAATAAAGTATTATATTCTACTACTTTATACTTATTCTATATCTATAGAGATAGCTTAGACGTATAATAATACTATAAATAAGAATAAGGCGTTATATTTTACTACCTCTTACTTATTCTAGATCTATAGATATTTTACTACTATAGTAACTACTTAATAAGCCTCTAAGCTCTTATTATATTCTACTACTACTTACTTAAACTAGAAATATAGATATTCTACTACTACTAAAATTAAAGTATTCTACTACTTTATATAAGTAAAAAAAAGTAAAAAAAAAAAAGTAAAAAGAAAGAATAGATAAACTAGAGATTAAACTTAGAACTTTTATAAATAAGTATTATAGTTAGATAGTAAGTATATAAGAGAAGTAAAATAATCTAAGTTAAGTTCTATCTACTAATATATATCTATAGTACTTTACTACTAAGCTATCTATTTATATTACTTAATAAATAGTAGTTACTTTAGTTAGTATATATAGAATAGTAAGAGTATAGTAGTAAAAGTATAGTAGTAAGAGTATAGTAGTATACTATTACTACTAGTAGAGCTAAGAAAGGCTATAGCTAACTACTTAGTTTTTTTATCTAAAAAACTAAAAAGTAAAGCTTTCTAGTAGTAGAGCTAAGAAAGGCTAGTGCTTTTTTCTAAATATACTATCTTACTTAGAACTTTCTTTCTTATACTAGACTTAGTAAAAGTAAGTAGAGAAGAATATTAGTAATAATCTTAATAGCTAGTTTGCGTACTATAGATAGAGAAGTACTACTTTTATTATTATATAGCTCTTATATTATATTACTATTACTACTTAGTTTTTTTATTATTATAGTTCTATATTATACTACTACTACTACTAATATATATAAAAACTACGTCTACTAAATAAAAGTACTATTTTCTAGATATAGAGGTATCTCTATAGTATCTATATAATAAGAATATACTTTAGACGTAGTAGTGTCTATTTATATTTATTTAGTCTTATATATTATACTACTACTATAGTTTTATATTTATTTAGCTAGTTTTATATATTCTACTACTAACTTTAATAGTAGAGAAGTAGTAAAGTAAAGGTATAAATAGAAGTATAGTAGTAATATATATACTTAGCGCTATTATTATTAGTACTTACTATCTATCTATACCTATATTCTTATAATATATATAGAGATTCTAAGAAATAATATTACACTACTACTATATTTATATTATAGCTTAGCTATATTCTAACTTTAATATAGACTTTAATACTAACTCTAAGTCTAACTCTATTCTATAAGACTCTAATAGTTTACTAGAGTAAGATAACGTAGAAGAATAACTAGAAGAGATAGATATTAATAAGAATAATACGTAGAAGCTACGTAATACTAAAGTCTATAGTCTATTA